CCCTCTCCTAACACTCAGCCCTGCCCTGTTACCCCGCCAGCTCCTCCCTTCTGTCCCTCCTTCCCTCCCCAAGGTGCTGCCATTGCTCCCTGTGCCACCCAGCCCTGCCTGTGCCACCCATCATGTCCCTCCTTGTGTCATCGCACCAGGGCCATCACCTGCCATCCGTGACTGGGACGAGGACGCAAAACCCCGACACCATGCCCATCTTTTAGATGAAAAACCGAGGGACCCTCGGATCAAGGCTTGGCTACCCCTGCTGGGGGGGTCTCCTCGGGGGGGTCTGGGAGCAATGCTCAGCCCAAAGAGCTGAATTTCTCATGACTCCCCTCGTTGCCCAATGATTTTCGTTTTCCTGAGTTTTCCCAAACCGTAGGGAAATTTCCAGGCCCAAACAAACAGCCACACATGGGGTTTGTCACCGGGCGCCAGCGCAGCCTGCCCAGGGGAAGCGTTGCCATGGCTATGAAGGGGGGGGAATAAAAAAATAATTCAGATCCAGCAAGAAGGCTCAGCCGATAGAAGTGCTTAATTAAAGATGAGAAGAAGGCAGGGAAGTTCAGCCGCGCGCAGAGCAGGGACGCAAGCGGCAGCAGGCAGCTGCCGGGAGTTATCGGAGCAGAGGAGCCTGCCCATCCTGCCGGGGGCTGGGAGAAAAAGAGGGTGCAAGGTGCTCACCCTGAATTTCAGAGCCTTCCCGAGAGCAGGCGTGAGGACTGGGAGATGGCCCCCAGCCCGGCTTTAACTTAGCTGGGACACAGAGCTGCGGGCTGGCCTCCTCCTCCTCCTCCTCACTGCTTCAAGCCCACACAGAGATGCTGAAGGGCGTCCCGGGTACTCAGTTCACGCTTCCTGGGGTCTGGCCATGGAGATGAGTCCCCCAAAATCTTCTTTTTCCCCGTTATTGGAGCACAACTTTCCCCAACACAGAACCATTCAGGTTGGAAAAGACCCCCAAGATCATCATGCAGATGCTTTTCTGTCCCCCTCCCGCCTGGGTGCTGAGCCTGGGCACCCACTGTCTCCGTGGAGGACACTGGGCACAGGTAGATGTCCCGACACATGCCGGGGTTTGGGGAATAAGGGGTACAGGGGAGCATGGGGTCCTCAGCACTGAGCCCAGGGAGCAGAGCCCCAGCCCAGCAGAGCCCTAGGGCACCCACATCTCTGCTGACGAAGCCCTCAACGCGGCTTCAGGTTGGCACCCAGGAGCCAAATTTGGGCTCCAGACATGCCCTGAACCCACCCCTCACCTCTGCAAAGGACCTGGTGAGGCAAGGAGGGCTCATTTCTTAGCAAGGGGTTTGCCAAGATGAAGAAAGATAATTTTTGAGAGAGCTGTGAAGCTTTGGGCAAGGAAAGCAAGTGGTGGTGGTTCTCCTGCTCAAAGCCACCTGCCAACACAGGCATCTGGGCACAGCTGGTGGCAGGAGGGGACGTCCCCTCTGCAGCAGAAAAGGCTGGATGGTCCCTCCAGCATTCACCCACGCCTTGGCTCTTAACCAGCTCCTCTCTAGGAGCCATTGGATGTTGGAAATAACAGACCCTCACGCTGCTTTACAGAGTCAGGCTTTAATTCAGCAACGAGAGGAGATCAGCCCACTGCCACGACCCGCATCGCTCCCCTCTTGCTCCTCATATCCAGCCCAGTGGGGAAGAGTTTCATTCTTTCCAGCATGTGAAAACCTTGCAGTGGGGACCAAAAGCTTTTAGAAGAAAAAACCCCAACCTAACAGCCAAACCCACTGCCATTGCAGAAAGCCCTTAATTCAGCTGCAGGTTTTCAGGGAAGAGAAATATCTAAAGGAATGTTGATAACTTCAAGGCAAAGCATATGCTCAGCTGCTGAGCTGAGGCAGATAGCACTTTTTTTTAATTAAAAAAAGCTTTTTGGTTTACTTTTATGTAGAAAAGAGTGCAAACAGCATATTCCATGTAAAAGAAAGAGTCTGGGGAACGGAGACTTGCAAAGGAAACGGGATGGATCAGAGAGTCAGAATTTTTGGGGGAGGTTGCAGGGCTCTTTCTCAGACAAGAAAAGAGAGCTCTACTTAGAAATGGTCCAGCCAAAAGACTTTACCTCTTGACATCACATTTTTAAGCGAATCACGAGAGAGGCCATCAAGACACCGCCTCCATCCTTCTCCAGGGGACTGGAAAGAGTCGGACTCCAGGACCTGGAAAGTTTTCTCTGGCCTGATGAGCAAGGAAAAGGCTGGCATGAAGGCTGAAGCCACGGTTGTGAGAGGGTGAAGGAGGAGCTGTGCCATGGTACTGGCACAGCAAACCCACTCTTGCCAGGATCACAGCAGATTTTATCGCTCCCAGCTCCTTCCCGCTCCTCCCATTGTTGTATTTCAGCCTTCTGAAACCCATCAGCAGTAAAAAGCACCAACAAATTGCCTTAAAAGTGTCTCCGAAACCAGATGAACCCACTCGATAATTATATTCCCCACCAAATCACGAGCGAAGATCCATTCCAAAGCATCTTTCTTCATTCACAGGGAGAAAAATCAGGACGTTCACGCAGAATCTGAGCAACTTAAGTGAACCTTGGGCACTTCCCTTCACGCTGCAGAGCCCAGCCTGACCCCGAGGAATTAACAGACTCTGCCAAAATCCCAGCCTTCACCTCTCCAGCTGCTCTCAAGCTGCACAGCTGCTTTCTGCTCACACTTGAAAGACGTTGTATTTATCAAGCATTAATTAGATGAACATGAAGCACCATTTTCTGCTGGGGGGAAATTATCTGTGCTCTCTCCACCCTGTAACAAGCCCATAGTAGGACAAGCCTGAAAAGGGAGCAGGTAGAAGAGGTTCCTTCTTGCTCTGCACATCTGCCACTTCGGATACTTCACCGGTTCTGTTGCCACCGTCGATGAGCACTTTGCTTCCACTAGACCTGAAAAGACAACAGCCCTGTGGAGGAGGAGCTCGAGTCTCTTTACCACCAGAGCTGGTCCCTGAGACTGTCCTGACAGTCAGAGCCACCAAATGCAGAGAGCTGCTGCCTTAGGGGGGCTCTCCAAGCACCAGGAGCTGCTGAACGAGCAACCTGGCAAGTAGAGCCCCTCCAGAAGTCCTCAAGACTGGGCTGGGTAGGTATTTGTCACAACTGGCCACAGGTATCCTCACCCAGGGGGAGAGAAGGGGGACAAGGCGGCCACCTCAAGATCTCTCATCCACCTGAAGTTCTAGCGCTTCACGGAAAACACACGTGGTCCAGCTCTGTTCTTCCTGGCTGCAATGTCGGCACCGATAGTGCAGCAGCTGACACCGGTCATTGTGGCACAAAGCGCTTCAAGTAAACACTCATCTGGAAGAAAACTCACCAGGCCACAACGGCCTTTGGAATCCGGAGCTGAAGAAACGTCATGGAAGGCTGAAGGCTGCTACGGAGGGCGAGCGTCGATGGTAAACAACCCATCAGCTAAATTCAGGAAGGCAGACTGGGAGCTCTCCCCAACCAGCTGGGTGTCTTTGGTTCAGACCGTGTCAACTGAAAGCATTTAGCCGTGACAGTGATGGGCTTTATAGAGAACACTGAGATAAATGAAGGGAAAAAGGTTACCTAATAATTACAGCCACTGCTTCACATCCAGCTGCATCCATGGCTCAGCCTGACCTTTGGGGAACAATAAATAATGCACGTCTCTGGTGAGTAGTCACCCTTCCTTGATAAACCATCGGCACATGCTGATAAAAGAGAGCTCGGTGGCCTTTCCTTACTGCTGGGCTCAATTTCCTTGCGTACGAGGGCTAGGAAAGTCAGAAAAACATCATACCCGTTTCCCACATACTTTCTATCGCAGTTTCACATCACTAAACTCCATAAACCGTTCGTGCTCCAGCATCTGCTGCAGGGATGAGGAGAGCTGAGGTGAAACACTGGGTCAAACTGATCTCTCCATCCTGGGACACCAGAAGGTCTCCTAGTGCAGGTGGCTCAAGCTGCTGCCCTCCAGGACATCCAGAAACAGAAAGAACCAAACCAGGCAGAGCTGGACTTGGATCCTGTTTCAGCTTGGCCATTTAATACCATGCATGGATGAGCTGTGCCTTGCACCCGAGCCGAGCTTTCACCTCTTGTTGAGTAGGGCAACAGTGACTGAGGGCTGGAAACAGAGCAGAGAGGCATGAGGGGCTGCTGGGCAGCAGAGGCTCCGGGCAGGAAGGTGCTATGCTGAGCAGCAGACAAGAAACACCGAACACTCCCCAGCAGAACGAGCGAGAGCTGGAGCTCACAGTCCTGCCACTGCTGACACGGGGATTTGGTTTCTGCTGAAGGGTCAGGAAGCCTGTTTGGTCACTGGCTACTAGCAAGGGGATCGTTCTGGCAAGATTCAAAGCAAAAACCTCTGCGCCTGAGCAGCTAAAAGAAAGCACAAGGAACAAAAATCCAAAGAGGTCTGTTCAAAAATCAGGAGAGCAGAAGGGGACAGCCCCACCGACAGCTCTCCCCCAGCACCTCGCCAGCATTCACACGTTACGACATGAGTTAGAAAGGGTCACGGAGAGTTTGTGCTTTCCCCGAGCTTGCCGAGGAGGTGTGTGACCAGTTTCTGCAGGGCTTCAGCCCGGACCACCGAGATGCGCAGCACTTCCTCGTGGTTGGCTTTCTCTTGGCTGCTGTAGCTCATCACCACTTTGTTGGTGATCAGCGAGATCCCAAGGACTCGGAGCCCGCAGTGCCTGGCCACGATCACTTCTGGGACAGTACTCATGCCTAGGACAGGAGAGGAAAGGACCAGGATGAGCCAGGATCAACACCAAAACAAGATCTCTCCAAGGCTGCAAACCACAGTCCTACCTACTGCGCGTGCCCTTGTCTCAACCCCCCACAGCTCTGTCTTTCTGAGCTACGTAATAGTTAAAGGCTGCAATATTTGTAAGGCTGTAGTAGCTGTAGCACCACAGTTACAGCCCTGCTCGGCACAATAAACCTCCTACATCTGATTCCTGCGCGCTGCGTCTCCCTCCCCGAGACGTGTCAGCCTGCTTGCAGCCACGCTGAGAGAAGCACTGATGTGCTGTGTCATTTGGTTCTCCTCTTCCTTGGCTGAAAAAAAGCTCATTGCAAAGGAAAACTGACTCCTCTCCTCACACACAATGAATCTGCAGATGTTAAGGAAGAGACTCCTGCAAGCCAGGGGTCAAGCTGGAGGAATCATAGGGGTTATGGCACTTACCCTTCTCGCATGCAGTCGGGAAGTTTTGCATCATTACCACCCCTAAACAAGGCTCTTTGTAGGGAAGAGGCACAAGGAAAATCCTTACAGTGTAGGAAAAAATAAATAAATAATGCAAGTGGACTTGATTTATGAGCACTCAGTTGTGCTCAGCCGTGCGCTGGGATCCCTGCCCTGGGACTTTCTGCAGATCCATCCTAGGAGCTGCACTAGAGTCACGGCTGAGCTACGCAGAGCTCATTTCTCCAGACTTGGGAGACTTGCAAGGCAGCCCGGAGGCAGAATTAACCCTTTAATCCATGCGCCTAACCAAGCCAGGCAACTCACCTACGGTGTCGGCCCCCAGCGCCTGCAGCACGCGGCACTCGGCGATGGTTTCGTAGGAGGGACCGGAGAGCAGGCAGTACACTCCCTCTCGGACAAAGCTCAGGAAGCCCAGCTCCTGCACGCTCTCCATGGCCAGGCCGAGCAGATCTTGCTCGTAAGCGTCCGACGTGCAGGGAAACCTCACTCCAAACCTGTAAGGCAGGAAAGGGCACAGCCGCTGCTCCCTCCGTCAGAGTTGAGGGATGCTGATGCTTTGGGGGAAAGGGAAACAGGGAAGGCAGACCCACTATGGTTGCAATCTCATCAAATAAGGCTTCTCATATAAGGCTCAGTGCCACAACCACAAGGGCTGTCCTGTCCCCACAGTGATACCCACACACTCAAAACAGAAACTTTGGGTTGAAGACACCGGACAAATCAGTTGAGGTTTGAGTCTTTCCCCTTCACTGCCTGCACAAAGCAGTTGGAAGGGCTTTAGGGAACGACTTCCTTGGTAAGGTAGATGAACAAAATCAGAAAACAAAACTTTATTTGGTTCAGCACAGCAAGATCCCAAGCTCAGACACTCCTCTAGGACAGAAGTGCAATTCTATCGCCCATCTGAGATGTCCTAGGAGGTGCTGCCTGCTCCTCAGGGGCCCACCCGGAGCATCTCGTAGGTCTTCTGCCAGACCCAGAGAATGGATATTGGATACCTGGCAGAGCATCAGATGTCTATGGGCAACAGCATCCCATTCCAGGTGTCTTACTTTGCAGGAAAACGGGGAGAGCAGCACATGCTGGAGCTCC